GTGGCAGGGGACGTGGAAAGAGCCCTGGGCTAAGGGAGTTGGCCAGTCCTTAAGTCTGGCCAGGAACAAAGAGCGTGGACTTCCTAAATTCCATCCCTGCATTATAATCTCCACATGATATATTCTTGTTTTCCTCATTGCCTTCCTAAATAGGGTCCAGGTTTCCAGCAGGCTTGGGGGTCCCCTCCCTGGACCACTGGAACAATGGATGGCACAGAACATGTATGATACAGAGCTCTCTTGCTGTATGAATGGGTGGTCTCTGGCAGGGTTGTTTTTGGCCAAGTAGGTGCTGTGTATTTCCAGTTACAGTTGCATTTTGTTGCCTGAAACTTCTTGGCAGTATTTCAACCAAATGCATTAAAATATAATTGCCTTTATTAAGAAAAAGAACAGACATGCATTAACACAGGGTTTTGAAAAATTAGGGGCAGCTAACTAATAAAATAAGTTTGTAAGAACAAGGCATGGAACTGCTTTTATTGGCATTTCCAGAATTTTTTTTACTTCTGGGCATCTGAAGAGAATGTCTATCCAGTTACCAAATTTTCTCTGGGGTGCCTGCCAGATTTCTGGACACAAAGCTTTAAAATTTTAAAAGGTGATAGGACAATTAGAGAGGGTGTTTCTTCTTCCCATGTGGTTCCAGCCAAACTGTCCTGATTACTCTCCTGAGCTTTAGATTCATGTATCTAAATATCTGCTTAATATTTCCAATCTGGTGGTCTGTCCCCACCAGGCCTAAGCTCACTTTGGTACAAGCAAAATTTATCACTCAGTCCTCAACTGATTTTCCTTCAATACACTCAATTTACCCTGTTATCACTATCCACCCATACAAGCCAATTAGAAATCTCTTCACTATTTGACTCTACCCTTTATAACATTCCACATCCAATTAGTCACTACCTTCCATTGATTTGACTTTTAAAATAGTTTGAGTTTGCTATTTCACTGCCTCAGTGGAAATAATGCTAATCATTAAAATAGCTTTTCAATCAGCCTCTTGATTAAACACTTATTGTAATGCCTCCTATCCCCATCAGTTATTCACATTGCTACCAAAGTGATCCCCCTAAAGTGTAAGTTGGGGAATGATACTTGTTATAAATCTTTGAATTTGATGCTTGCTATAGACTAAATGTTTGTGCCCAAACCCAAGTTCATATGCTGAAGTTTTAACACTCAATGTGATGGTATTAAGAGGTGGGTGGTGGCTTTGGTAGGTGCTTAGGTTATGAGGGTGAAGCCCTCATGAGTGAGATTAGTGCCCTTTAAAAGGAGATTCCAGAGAGATCCCTTGCTGCTTTCCTTATATGGAGACACAGCAGGAAGAAAGTTGTCTATGAACTAGGAAGCAAGAGGCTTCATCAGATATTAATCTGCCAGCACTTTGATTGTGGACTTAAGCTTCTGGAACTGTAAGAAATAAGTTTCTTTTGTTTATAAGCCACCTAGTCTACGGTATTCTGTTATAGCAGCCTGAATGGACTAAGACAATGCTGTAGGCAATGTGAAAACATTGAAATATTTAGAAGGGCATTTGAGACCCTCTAATTATTAACCTTACCTATTTTTCAAACACTATTTTTGGGAAATGATAAAAAAAACCGTTAAAGCAATGAAAAAGCCAAAGTTCTGAGAACTATGCTCTTCTCATGTCACAAATTTATCATGTGCCCAAGTAAATAAAGGGAATAAAGAGTTATGTTCCTCCCTTGAATATGAGCCTTTATCAGTCCTCATTTTCTGTCCTGGAAGGAGCCACAGTTTTGGAAAGTTTGACTATTGTATAGCAATGAGTATGCAGTTGAAGCCCAAAGATTGGTCAGAACACACTCTTTTTTTTTTTTTTTTTGAGACGGAGTCTCGCTTTGTTGCCCAGGCTGGAGTGCAGTGGCATGATCTCGGCTCACTGCAAGCTCTGCCTCCCGGGTTCACACCATTCTCCTGCCTCAGCCTCCCGAGTAGCTGGGACTACAGGCGCCTGCCACTACGCCCGGCTAATTTTTTTGTATTTTTAGTAGAGACGGGGTTTCACCATGTTAGCCAGGATGGTCTGGATCTCCTGACCTCGTGATCCACCCACCTCGGCCTCCAAAGTGTTGGGATTGCAGGCGTGAGCCACCGTGTCCAGCCAGAACACACTCTTTACAGGTGGAGGAACAGGGCAAAAAAGGTACAGGAATTTTTTCCCGAAAAGAAACATTTCCTGTTGTCAAACACTACCATTTTCTGTGCTGTCTTGAGCCAGCTTATGGGATATCTGCAGCACAGTATCACTCAAGCCTCATTAGCTCCCATCCAGATCTTTCTTATGGGCTTTCTAGCAGCATGAGGAGAATATCAGATGTGCACATCCCTTCTCTGGATCTCCCTTTTAAAATCCTGGGTGCAATTTCTCACACAACACCTTACCTACCCATTATTGCTGGTTCTCATGTGTGTTGTTGAGATCTGTTCATAGAAAATAAACACTCCTCAGCCCAACACTAGCGTTTGGACACCAGCTGCATGACGTAGTCCCACTCTTTTTTTTTTTTTTTTATCTACTGTTCCCTCAAGCTCTAAATACCTGCCTCCACTATGGAAATCCCACAAGCCTCAGCTCACTGTCACCACAGCTGATGCCCCAGCTAGAATTTGTTGCTGCCTTCTCTGGCTTGCACTGTATTTGATATGAGTGCCTCGTTAGCATTACTTCATGTTGTCAAGTGTTAAAATTAGTTGAATACGCTTTTACCATCTCCAGTAGATTGAGCTTAGGAGTTGTGACTTTTCTATCTCTGTACTCCAGAAGACTGAGCGCAATGATTACTGATTGAGTGGATAACAAAGCCCCCACCCCTAGATCTAATTAGTGCAGGAGTCTTACCTGTGCCATTTTCTTTGGTTTGTGAGCTCCCTTGTGAATGGGAATTTCAACACCAGGGTTCTGGCCCATTGAATCAAAGGAATTGAGCGGGAAGATAGCATTTCTGGCATTTTAGAGTGGGCAGATTTGCCTGCCATCAGCAATACCTTTCTGAGAGAGGTAGTATAATATATAACCTTTAGGGGCCACATAAGTAAGTTTTGGGTAACTGTATTGTTCACAGAATGGGCCAGAGATTTTCCTCTTACTATAGGTAGAGTAACACATGAGCTATCACCAAGGTAGGACGTTTGAGTACACTAAAATAATTAAAATTACAAACTTAAAATTGATTAGCATCTGTCAATCTAGAATTGTATTCACAAATTATTTTTGAAAATAAAATTATTTCTTAAATGTCTGATAACTGAACATGTCTTTATATTGGCTATGTGAACATTAGAAAGTAATATAAATTATATACACCCATATATTTTAATTCCTCCACAGTAGCCCTCTGATGGATTCATTTTTTCAGTAGTCTTATTTTTTTCCATTCAATTGCCTGACCATTCTTCAAGTTGTAATTTTTTTCTTAATAAATTCAATTTGATTTTTGTTTAAGAGTATAATATTTTTAATTGAGAAAACTCTACCAGTATGTGGTAAGCTCAGGAAATTGTTAAATGGGAATATTTATAATTTTTATTTTTATGTATTGAAATATGTATAGCCCCAATATTTTCATGGATACAATCTTTTCCCATCTAGAAAAGCTTTGACAAATATTTTTGTAACTCATGCAATAGATTCTTATGTCACCTAATTTAGATGTTTCAAAAGTATAAGTATTCTCAATGTTGTATTCCGGCACAGAATACACATCTATCCAATTAGAAATAGTAGCTCCAGCAAAAGATCCTTTCCCATGTCAAGATATTCCAAAGTGCAATTATAGAATTTCAAAGTTAAATGTTGCAGACTGAGTTCTCATTGTCTAAGTGGTTTGGTTTCTCCCTTGCTTACATGGAGATACATTTCAATCTCTGTTTGTAAGCTTTGTTTTCTAGCATTGCAATTCACTCAGGGTTTCAAAAGCTGGTTTTTTAAGAGTTTTTTCTTTGAATGATTAAAGACTACGAAAAAATGCAATCACAGTTTAGAGTGGTAATTTACAAATGACTCCAAAGTTGATTTACATAGCTCTTCCTAGGCTCAAACATTTCTAAAATCCGATTGATAATGGGACAGCAAAGAGCTCAGCCATCTTTTTATAAATATACAAAGTTTTATAGGTATGAATTACTAAAGATATGCATTATTATTCATTTCTGTGTTTGTGAGAACCTGAAAGAGGCAATACCTTAAGATGAATCCTGAGTGGCTAACTGGGCCTGATTTTAAAATGGAACCAAGGGGCCATTTGCTGACTAGAGGTCACACCCATACTCTGAGGTCCCAGAAAACCCTCACGGCTGCTTCACTCTGGGAATGTGATGGCCGACTGTTCCTGTTCACATCACCTGAACCAACCAGTCAGAACTCCGCTGCTACTACCAATCAGACCTGAGCAAGTTTGAATCCTTACTTTGCATAAACAGACCTGATAGGGAACCTGGACAGGAACTTTGTATAAAAGCCAAATCCTGCCTTTGTTCTCTTTTGTGTAAAGCCCTCATTATTACAGGGAAGGAAGCATCTCCCCTGGTTTGCAAACTGTTCTGTGGAATAAAGTTTTTCTTCTAAATTCCTTTTCAGAAAAAAATTTGTTCATTTCAAATTCAACATTATCTTTGCTAAATTTCTCTGAAGATATGGATACATTTTGATAACTACAGATTCTATTTCAATTGTAGAATATGACAATGAGAATACAAGTGCAAATTATGTGTGTACCGAAATCAATTTCAAATACATTTGCGTGTCACCATAGATTTCTCAATTTAGTAAAAATATTATTTGCTATAATGGAATACTCTACCAAAATTATTCATATGACCACCATAAAAACACTTTTATCTTCAACATTTGACTTTTTCTAAAAGTTTTGTAAAAGAATTAGATATTTCATTTTTGTCAGAGTGAACAAATTTTTACTTTGATTCTATACACTTGATTTTAAAATTGCCCATTGAGATTATTTCTATTTGTAACATCACACTGATGTTTAACTATTTGCAAAATTTTACTTGTTCATAGAGACAATATATTAATAGTTATTACTTAATGTTTATGCAAGTACAAGAAAACCTTGAGTTAAATAGGAACAAAATTATCTTGAAGAATCTGATAGAAGCAATCCCTGAAGATGAATGAGAAGTCATGCTTCACAGAATGTTATGTGGAAGTACTTTCTTCAGCTGTCCATGTGGACTTCAGGTAGAGGTTTTTAAGTATTCCCTTAAAAGAACAATTAACTTGTGAAATAAGTTATCATCTTTCTGCAGATTTGTGTGTCCTGATGTTCATAGGTTCAGTAATATCACTATGGCTCCTATGGAAGACAAGAAATGTTGCAAAATGTTTTGTAAATATTTCATGTTCAATTTTTTTGAGAAGTGAGAATTTAATACATAATTTTTCATTAAACATGCACTTTCATTCTTGATTGCTGCTGAAATGTTTATCACAAAATATGACAACAAGACCACTGTAGCATGTGTGTTTACACTGCTGGATATATAATCTACCTCAGAACTACTCAGCTAGTTTTTTTTTTCCCTTGCACATACTTTATTTACACTTAATCTATAATTTCACAAGCTTCCTGCTTACCTCATGGACTAGTAGCCTGGAAGATTTGTGTATCTGAAAGCCCAAGGCAAGGGCCACAGCACAACTTCAAATGGCTGGTGGGGGGAAAGTGGAATGAATTTTCTGCCACCACTACTTGGGACCAAAAGGAGTTAGCTAACTCTATCCAATCATATCTGAGTGTAGTTAATTTTATCAGTGAGTATCCAGCAAACTTGTTGAAGGAGAACATTTTATTTACCTTGCATCTGAAAAATGTCAGGAAAAAATTAATGTATGGTTTATTGTGATTCTTTCCTATTTCATCATGTGCTAAAGTGAGAACCTTTCCCATGCATACTTGGCAACACCATGGCAGTAGCTTGATGTACAGAGTGGTTTTCTGTCAGATCCATCTCAGGGCATTTTAATGCAACTACCAAGAACATCTTTTCAAAAAAGTTCAGGGCAAGTCCTAAAATAGATGGGATGCTAAGACAACTAGAATATACTAGAACTTTCTCAGGCAAATTAAGATATATAATACTTTTTACAGAAATATAAAGACTTAGATGTTACACTTTTCTCTCAAATAAGATTGTCTTAGAAAATATTTGCTTTACCAAAATTATGCTGATCATTTCCAAGTATCAGTCACTTAATCTATTTTATTCCCAGTAAAAATCACATGTTAAAAAAATTTAAAAAACAGTCTTAGCAAACTAAGGATAGGAAGGAAACTCCTCAATCTGGTAAAAGGTATCTATGAAAAATCCAGAGTTAATATCATACATGGTGATCAAATATTGAATGCCTTTCCCAGAAGATCAGGAACTAGGCAAAGAGGTCACTCTCATTAGATCTATTCAATAGTTTACTGAAGCTCCTAGTCATTGCAATAAAGCATGAAAAAGAAATATGAATGCTAGTGAGGGAAAAGAAATCTCTATTTGTAGTTGAAGTTAACGTTGGCATAGAAAATCCAATTTCATGTTACCAGACAACTCTGTATTTGTGAGGCATGTGATACTTTGTTTCAAACATGGTTATTGACTCTTATGTGTATGGTATGGACTGTACTAGAACCTTACTAGGAAACCCCAGAGGAAGGAGTGAGATCACCATGATAGGATTAGCATCCTTATAAGAGGAGGAGACCTGAGCTCACATGTCTACCACGTGAGGATACATTGAGAAGGCAGCTGCCTGCAAGCCAGGATGAGGGTCCTCACCAGGAAATAAATCTGCCAGCACTTTGATCTTAGATTTCCCAACCTCTAGAACTATGAGAAATAGTATCTGTTGTTTAAGTCACCCAGTCTAAGAGTTTGTTATACCAGCCCAACGGGACTAAGACAGTAGCTATTATAAACCAGATGAGAAAACTTCACCCAGCAAATTGAGTCATAGCTAAAACTAGAACTTAGCTTGGTTGACCCCCAAACCTTAGGTTCAATATGCCAGGCTCCACCATCTTTTGCCCAGTGGTGTATCTGAAAGGGAGTTCTTTCTCTCACATAAGGTGTCTGGAAAAGGACGACCCATCTCTATGGGTAGCCATTTTCTGCCTTCACGATGTGGAAAATTTAAACCCTTTCGACAGACAGCCTGCCTGCACACTCAGGAGACAAACAGATCCTGGCAAGCTCTTTGCTCCAAAAATCACCCTTCTCCAATTACACTCCCCCAAGTTCCTCGATTAGCAGGCCCCAGCAGCTTCTCTCCACCGAGCCAGTCTGGGGTTGAGGCCTAATGCATCACAGGTGGGTTCTGGCTCCAAACTCATTCCAGATGGTCTCACAGTCTACGCTTCCCTGCAACTCATTATATTTTGGCTATCTTGGGATCACTAATGATGCTGAAGGGCTATGCGTCCCGAGGATGGCAGAGACATATTCTGAAACCAGGACCTTTGAGAGGTGTTATATATTGGAACACCTACCATAATATATGCATTCACAGGGAGCAAGCATATGCTGACCTTGACTCTCAGAGGTCACTGTGAAGGGCTTATGAATTTGACATTGGGAATGGTCTGTCTACTTGGGTCACAGAACAAGTATAAAGGGATCAACTGTGCTGTTACAGAAAATAGCTCTATTGCCGCTGGGCTCTTGAGAGAGTAAGGATATATCCTTGAACCCTGGTAATTGCTGTACCAGTTATTCCTTGAGAGGAGGACATGCTTGGGCAATTGTTTTGGGGCACGGGGTAAGTCTCATGGATTTTAACCCTTTTACAGCCATATCCTTCAGAAAGAGGGTAATATTCTGTTAATTGCATCTTCATATAACAAAACACTATGTTCTACAAAATAATTTTTGGCTTCCTTTCTAGCTGGAAAGCTGCCCAAGGCATATACTAGAAGTTGAGCAAATATCAGATTATTCAAGAGATACAAGTTTATGATACGGTTTTGGGGAAAAAAGCAAAACACACTTGAAACTATCCATGTTTGGGTGTCTTAAGAGCTCAGGTATAAAATCTTATCAACAGACAAGAATATAATATTCAGAGCCAATCATCCTTAGAATTCAATCTCAATCCCATCACAAGCTTGGATAATTTGTTGGAGAAACTATTCACTTTTCTGACAGCCATTATCTGTGAAATTGGGATAATATCAACATAAAAGGGTGTTCACTGGTTTTGTTTACTTTTTCACTTGTATATTTTTCATCGTTGTGAATTCATGCATTTGTTAGTTCATTCCCCTAGTCTCTTTACTGTACCAGGCACCATGTTAAGTTACACAAGAAATTAAGTCTAGGAAACAAAACTGATGTTTAACACAATTCAACAATGTATTGAGCACTCACTATGCACCAGTTGCTATGCTAGGCAACGGGCAGAGAGGAGTGTCCAACACAATGACTGTCCTCATGGGGGTTAGAGTTTAGTAGGTAGTAAACAATATTGTATAATGTGATTGTTGCTTCAACTGAATGTTCTGGTACACTGGAACATGGGTGGGCGTAGTTGTCTTTACTTGACTGGCTCACAAAGGACCACCACTGTCTAGTGGACCTGAGTTCTTAGGAGGAGTTGTTAGGAAGGATCTGGGCAGGAGGAAATTTATGTTGGGGCCATTCTAGAAGAAATCAGTAGCATATGTAGATACATTCCTAAAGTTATCCTATTTTCCTATTTCTAAAACTCTCAAAATATATATTACTATTCCTAGAATTTTCAAAATTATATTACTGTCTATACTTTTCTGTGCCATTCATATGTTCACTACCAGACATAGCAATTTTTAATACTCCAATGTTTTACTCCTGAAAAAAGAAAAAACAAACAGTTATAAGCATTGGTAACATTGAAATTCTTTTCAACCACTGTGGCAGGAATTGCTAGTTGCTTATCTGAATCCATTTTTTCTTTCTGCCTTATAAGCAGAACACTGACTTATTTCTGGCTGCAAGACTGCATTTTTTTTTTTTGGCTTCCCTTTGGCTAGGGGAGATGGTTGGCAATGAGATGGTTATTTTTAAGTTTCTTAACATGGGTTAAGAAACAGGGTTTTCTGGGGATTTGTCTTGCAGGGGGAGTCATAAGGTTATAATATATGACATTGGACACAGACCTAAGTAAATATAGCATGATTCTACCGTGAGCCTGGGTCTGCAATAAGTGTGTATCAACTCTTTACGCATATTACGTTTTCACCTCAATGCAAGCTGCTTCCTGTTTTCACCGTTCACTCACCCAAGGCCCTACAGTTTATTAGGGACAGGAATAAGATTCAAACTTTAGTTTGTTCCACTACAAATTGGAATTGACAGGAGTAGGAATAGTGGGACTTGAGACAGTATATGCAAAGCACATAGCATTGGTCTTTGAATGTAGTTGGTGCTGAATCTATACAAGTTTCCTTCACCCTTTCCCCTTTACTTTTTGGTATACTGAACTGCAGCAATATCAAAACAATCCTGTTGACAATCAGCGTGAATTATTTGTAGAATGTGTGCGTAGCGTGTACTCACACACACATAGATGAGGGAAAGTGGTGGTTCAGAGAATACTGCATAGGTATCAAGATGCAGTGCAGGGTCTTGTGTTTATTTGGACTGCAACAGAGGATATGTCAGCATCTCATCACCTGGCATGGAGAGTGGACCTCTTGATTGGGGCCTGGTTTCAATACCCATTATGAAATCAAGTTTGGCCCATGAGCCAGGCGCCTTTTTATTCATGTTTGTCTTTGCAGTTTGTCGCGTATATCTCCCTGATGTCTGGGCTGCTGTACAATGTAAAAATCATGACCAAACAGGCCTGAGGATCAGCTACTAGGCAGGACTCAAACAAGCCACATATGTGTATGGTTCCCATACATACATGCACATATGCAACGCAAAGTTGTTCTCAGTAGCAGCATGAGGAAAAACTAGTAGCAGAAGCAGTCAGGGGTGAGTGTTGTGAGAACAAGGCTTTTGGCAGCTCTTGGAAGCCTGGCCACACTTCTGTATATGTCCACACCTGTAGAATCTGCCATTGCCTGCTCCTAGTTTCATTCCAATGCTCATGCTTGCCATCTCCTGCCTCCCTGTATTTACCCCTGCTGTCCCCTCCTCCTGGGATGTCACTAACTCGTACACCCTTCAAGACTTTGTTAAAGCTCAATGATCTCTAGCAGTTTAGATAGATTGTCTCTCTGCTAAATCATGAACTACTGGATAGAAGAGATCATGTTTTAGTGATTGCAATTCCAAAAAACAAGAAACCACAAAACCCCGAAACATATAATATGCATACTTAAGGATTTCATTTTAATGTAATGAAATGCTGGTATGAATAAGAGTATTTCATAAGAATATTCATAAAACTTAAAAACAAGTGAGATGGAGTATTTGATACTTTTAAAATATTTTTATAAGCATAGTAAAAATCAAGTTAAATTAATGCTAAACACACATCATTCTAATACATTGGATAAAAGCAAACACTGTACACAAAAATTCATAAAAATATTGTACTTTTAAAACTCAGATTTCATTTAAGAACATCAATTTCATATTGGTTGGATAGGCAGTGTTTGAGGAGATTACTCTCTTTCATTTTACTGGTTCTTATAATTCTGAGGCAGAAAAACATGGATCAAAGCAAAGGGCTGGATGACCTGAAGACAGATGAGCTGTTTTATAAGCAAGAATTGTCAAATGCATCATCTGAGAATAAAAGTTTTGATATTTAAAAATTTTTCAAGTAAGTTCAATTTTTTAGTTTCTTTGCTGTCCCTTTTGTATTCTATTTGCTTGGAAATATTTCATCTAGAGCAAGGTTGTCCAACCTGTGGCCCAAGACAGCTTTGAATACATCGCAACACAAATTTGTAAGCTTTAAAACATTGAGGTTTTTGCAATTATTTTTTAGCTCAGCTATTGTTAGTGTATTTTATACATGACCCATGGCAATAATTCTTCCACTGTGGCCCAGGGAAGCCAAAATATTGGACACCCCTGACCTAGAGTAAGAAGCAGGCTTGCTGTTAGATTCTCTGGAGAAAGAGAAGAGTACATATATATACACATAATACACACACAGTCTGATTCCCCCTTCCTCTGCTTTTTGTTCTATTTCAGTCCTACATGTATTGAATGATGCACACTCATATTGAGGAGGGCCATCTGCTTTCCCCAGTCTGCTACTTCAAATGGTAATCTCCAGAAACACAGACACAAGGTTTAATGAAATTACCTGGGCACCCCATGGTGCCCAAATTGGCACATAGAATTTAGCCATCACACCTGCAGTAGAATAATTTGCATAAATTGCCAATTTCTTCTTCCTCATAATCTCTTGCAGATTAAAGAAACACTACATGTTCTAAATGACCATGACTCTTGGATTTGAAGTTTAAATGCATATAGCTGTATTAGGAGTCTCCAGAGGAAAATAACCAATGGAATATATACAGAGATATTTAAAGAGATAATAGGCATTGGCTTACATGGTTATGGAGACCTTGTTGTGCCATGATCTGCCATCGGCAAGCTGGAAAACTAGGAAAGCTGGTGGTGTAATTCAGCCTGAATCTAACGGCTTGTGAGTTGTGAGTTCAATGGGTCCAGAGAACTGGGAATACCAATGTCTGATGTCTGAAGGCAGGAGAAAATGGACATCAACTCAAGCAGAGAGCGAATTTGCTCTCCCTCTGGCTTTTTCTGTTCAGACTTTCAATGGATTAGATGATGCGCACCAACGTTGCGAAGGGCCCTTCTGCTTTACTCAGTTCAGTTAGATTGCTGATCTCTTCTAGACACCTTCACAGATATACCTAGGAAACATGTTTTGTTAGCTATCTGGTCACCCTTTAGCTCAGTCAAGGTGACACATAAAATTAACATCACAAGTCTACCCCTTGTCAACTTGGCACTTAGACATCTCTTCACCATACCAAACCCTAGTTTCCAAATAAAGATAATAAGGTCAGAATTCTAACATGATATAATCCTGTGTATAACTTAAAATTAATCCCTTCTCCCCAAAAGCAAAAATTCTGAATGTTTAATCTGTTATCCTATACTTAGATATTATGATGTGAAATTAATATTAAATACTGATAAAGCCAATGCCTTATGTTACATAAGAGAATGAAAGAAAAAGATTTGCTTAATATGTATCTATATATATGTATATATCTAAATATATGTATATTTAACAAAATGAGAAAATATTCATGAGAATTACAGTCCTCATTTCTATAACTGGCCACATGGCTGTAGCTGGTATTTATAACTTCTACCACCCATTCTGTATTCTCTTTGCCTTCAGCAAGAATCTCAACTGGTCATAGTTATTTACTTTTCAGTGTGACCCTAACCTTCATTCTTGAAAGGTCTGGGTCACTTTTCCTGACAATTCCTGTCTGGATTGGGTTATAGTTTTCTATTGATGTTAACAAAGGGACATGGCAATACTAAAAGACACCCTAGGGGGTTTCCTGTATCCCAGACATTCTACTTTACCTCAATTGTGGAGTAGTAGAGTTCAATTTCCTCTTGGTAGTCCATATCAGTCACCCCAGCCCACATAACTCCTTTCTTTTACTGTTGACTCAGAGGCAGGAGGAGTCCAGAGTCCAAAGTCCAGGTGGCAATCCTAACTTGCAGTTCAAAGGAATTATGGTTGGGTCTCCTGGGGGAACCATTTTCCCCTCTGGAATTAAGACTTCTAGGCCAGCAGAGCCTAAAGTTGGAACAGGAAGCAAAAGTTTTGCTACTAAGTGAGAGGTGCCACTATATTTCTACCCCCTTGATTGCTGGCTATCAGAAATAGCACCATATATTGGACACTGATTCAGAAAGTGTACAGTCTCTGGAGAACCTTACCCAACTCTGCAAGGTATTGCAACCTAGTTAGCCCCACCATCCTATGAAGCCAGCTGCTTCAGGATAACGAACATGGTAAGATCAGTTAATTTGATGAGCACGGGCCCATTGCCGCACTTTTCTGTGATGTGAATTCCTTGATAAGCTTCTGTGTGGAATATTATGGTGGATAAGGCATTCTGAAAGTCTACAGATAATTTTGACAGAAGCATTGAGTTCAGGGAAGGCAAATCCATATCCAGAATAAATGTCTACTCTGTAAGAACAAAATGTTGCCCATTTCATGATGGAAGAGATCCAATGTAATCAACTTTGCCACACTAGGGGGCTGGCTGATCACTTCAAGAAATGGTGCCAAATTGGAGGCTCAGTGTCATCTTAGCTGCTATCAGATTGGGCACTCAGCAAGTCAGCCTTGGTGAGTGGAAGTCCACATTGCCGAGACCATGCATAGCCTCTATCTCTGCCACCATGACCATTTTTTAAAATGAGACCATTGGGGAAAGAGGTAGTTGGGGAAAAAGACTGGTAAAATCACCCATTCTGTGAACACCAATCACTTTATTAAAATCTTCCTCTGTTGAGGTCACTTTCAGAATTCACATGAGACACACATCACTTTTTGTCCATTCAGAGAGGTCTGTTGATATACCTCTTCCAAGTTTGTCATCAGTTTTCTAGTCATGTTTTTTTCCCAACTCTGAATTATTGTCTGCAGCTCATGAATTGGTATACCATATCGGGCCATTTCTTCTGAGCAAAGTCCACAACCAGGTACGGTGCCCAAATTTCTGGCTACCAGCAAGGTTTCCCTTTACTACTGTTTTTTTAGGTGTATTCCAGAGACAGGCTGTAGTACTGTCACTGGTCACTTTCAGGCAGCACCCATGTTTTATATAGAACCATCTGTAAACCAGGCACAAATCTTCTCTTCCTCTGTGAATTGATCATCAGGAACTCCCATGAGGCCGTAGGTGCAGGCTGGGAGAGAGGCAGTATAGCATGAGTTGGGACTACAAGCATTTGGGCCACTTCTTTATATAACCTGCTTATACCTTCAGGGCCTTCTTGAGCCTGATTACACACATACAATTTCGACTTAATGTAGCATTGCTGTGCATACCTAACTTTATGGCTTGATGAGTCAGATAACTAGTGTATAATGGTAAGCTCAGTTGCAGTGGAAACTTGGTGACCCATTGTCAAGGGTTCTATTTCTATTAAGACCCAGTAGCAGTCCAAGAGGCATCTCTCAAAAGGAGAGTAGTTATCTGTAGCTCGATGGCAGGACCTTGTTCCAAAATCCTAAAGGCTTATGTTGCAAATCACCAATAGGGTCCCGCCAAAGGCTCTAAACAGCATCTTTCTCCATTGGCATTTAAGCACCTTTGGAGCTGCTGGATCACATGGCCCAAGTCGTAGAACAGCTTGCACAGCTGCCTGGACCTATTGCAGAGCCTTTTTTAAAAATTCTGGGCCTCACTCCAAACTGGCAGCTTTTCAGTTAATGTGGTAAATGGGCTGGAGTATAACATGTCCAAATGAGAGATACCTTGCTTTCAAGATCCAGACAGGTCCATTAGGTATTGTGCCTCTTTCTTGGTTGTGAGAGGGGCCAGATACAATAGCTTATTCTTCACCTTAGAAGGGGTATCTTGATATACAACTGAGACTCTAAAAAATTTCCCTGAGGTATAAGGCCCCTGAATTGTAGTTGGATTTATTTCACCTTCTTTAAAACATTAAAGCATGTAAATGTTTTATGAATAAGCTTAGGATAGTTGCTAATTTTTGCTCATTAGGTCAGCATGTCAATGTCATGAACCATTGTAATGCCCTGTAGAAGGGAAAGATGGTCAAGATCCCTGGAAACCAAATTATAACATAGGGCAAAAGAGTTGATAGACCCCTGAGGTAGGACAGTGAGAGTGTATTTCTGGCCTTGCTAGCGGAAAGGAAACTTTCTGGTGAGTTGTATGAACAGGTATGGATAAAAAGGCCAGGTTAATAACAGTATACCAGGTACCAGGGGATGTGTTAATTGGCTCAAGCAATGAAATCATATCTGGTATAGCAGCTACAATTGGAGTTACCACTTGATTAAGCTTACAGTAATCTACTGTTATTCTCCAAGATCTATCTATCTTCTGCATGGGCCAAGTAAAGTTGAATGGGGATGTGGTGGGAATCACTATCCCTGCATCTTTCAAGTTGTTGATGGTGGCACTAATCTCTGTAATACCATCAGGGATGCCATATTGCTGTTGATGCTCTATTTTCCTAGGTAGAGGCAGTTACAATGGCTTCTACTTCACCTTGTCTATCATAATGTTACAGGTGGGTCTTTGTTCTTAGAGCTTCCAAGATATGGAGGGCCACTCCCAAGATGGGGGCAGGCCTTTTGTTCTGACCTGGGGTTCTTGGCCTCACTGATTCCAAGGAATGAAGTCTTGGGCCATGCAGTGAGTGTTATAGCTCTATTAGAAGCAATGGGTCACAGAAGAGAATTATGGAACCCAGCAACTAGTATTCAACTTGATTAAGATGAACCCTGGGTCCTTAGCCATGCAGGAACAATGGTGAGTCTCTAGCTCAATCGGGAGTGGCAGTGGGTGCCTTGCTAGATCAGAAGCACAGCGGACACCCTGCCGGATCTGGAGGGGTAGAAGTTAACAGTGGGTCTGCGATGGTGGCAAACAGCACTGGTGGATGGTGTTATGGCTCAGTTTGAGCCATAACAAACATGGACCAGAAGAAGTGTGTAGTTGCAAGATTTAATAGAGTGAAAACAGAGCTCCCATACAATGGGAGGGGACCAAAAGGGGGTTGCCCATTCCTGGCTCGAATGCCTGGGGTTTATATCCCAATCGTTGTCCCTCCCACTGTGCTCTCAGGTGATAGTTGATTGACTATTTTACCTCCTGCCTTTAGCCTAATTGGTATTTTAGTGAGCCCTCTTTACTACCTGATTGGTAGTGTGTGAACTGAGTTACAAGCCCCATGTTTAAAGGTGGGTGCTTTCACCTTCCCAGCTAGGCTTAGGAATTCTTAGTCAGCCTAGGAAATCCAGCTAGTTCTGTCTCTCAGTCCCTCCTCTCAACAGGAAAACCCAAGTGCTATTGGGGAGATTGGCTGATGACTGCTCTAACTGCTTCCTGCTGAATTGGAGCGTAGTAGGGGTCATGCAGTTGAGATTTCCTCAGGAGGGGTGCCTTTGGTGTCAACAACAGAGCATGGGCTAGCAAGCTGGTCCAGGGGTCCACGGTAGATCTTAGGCATAGGCTGCATCTGCGGCTCCATTTGATGGAGTTTTACAGCTTCGATTCTGGAAGAGACAAACTTAAGGAGGTTAAAGATACAGGGATGCAGAAAGAGGCATCCTTAAGGTCTAGGACTGTAAACTACTCTGCTTCCTCTGGTATCTGGGAAAGCAGAGTATAAGGATTAGGTACAGCTGGGTATAGAGGGACAACGGCCTCATTGATAATCCTGAGATCTTGCACTAACCTCCACCATCTGTTGGGTTTCTGTACTCCTAAAATTGGGGTACTGCAGGGGCTACTGCATGGTTTTACTAGGCATTGGGCTTTTAGGTCCTTAATCTTTTGGAGTTCTTGTTAGGCCTTGGGTCTAAGGGGGTACTGCTTTTGGTAGGGAAAGGAGGCAGAATCTTTTAGTATAACTTGAACAGGATGGGCATTCTTCACTTGTCCATATTGTCCTTCTGTTACCCAGACTTCAGGATTAATTCCTTCCTCGAGTTGGGGACAACAAACATGTGTTCCTTCTCCTATGTTCAGGTGTATAATGGCCTCTGCTTTTGCTAGAATATCTCTAACAAAGGAGTGGGGCTTTCAGGCATAATTAGAAAGCCATGTGAAAAGAGTAAAGTTCCCCAGTCACAACTTAGTGGCTGGGAGAAGTATCTAGTGACTGCCTGTCCTAGGACCCCTTGGATAGTGACAGATGTGGAGGACAGTTGTCCAGGACAGGAGGGTAAGACTGAGAAGGCTGCACTAGTGTCCAGGGGACAGTTAACCTCCTGGCCCTCAATGGTTAAGCATACCCAGGGCTCTGTGAGGGTGATGGCATGGGCTGGCATGTTCCCTGGGCACCCTCAGTCCTGCTGCTGGATCATC